TCACCCGACCCTTCAGGTTTGGTTTTGCACTGAGTGTGGGGGCATCGCGGATAAGGCTCTGCGATCTCTTAAAGGCCCATGTAGTAAGAGGAAGTCCGCCACGGGGCAAGAGTACCTTGACAGAATTGCTCGGGGGTTACATCCCAAAGTTCTGAGCCGAGCTGAGCAAGCTCGGCGTTCGAATGCTCGTTTGTCCAGGCCTTCCTAAGACCCGAACCTGCTGCGCAGCGGAGTCCACTCCACTCCACTCCTCCCTCCTCCTCCTCCTCCTCCTCCTCCCTCTTCCTGCCCCCCCCCTCTCTCCTCCTGCTCCTCCCTCCTCCCCTCCTCCTCCTCCTCCTCTCCTCCTCCTCCTCCTCTCATAGCCTTTTCCTCATCCTTCTCCTGCCCCCTCCTCCTCCTCCTCCTCCTCCTCCTCCTCCTCCTCCTCCTGTTCCTCCCGTTTCTCCTGCCTCTCTTCAAACATCCAGTGCTTTGGTTTTTTGTCAGGATCCTTGCCTTGTGGCAGCCCTGTCATCCCGAGTGGAGTTCGTCTTGACGGCCCCGTGTTTCAGCGAGGGCCCCCTAGAGACCAAAACGATGGAGAACTTCGGTTTTGACGTGGGATGCTTGGGCCACCGAGGCCAAAACTCGACCCCCAGACCTCTCCTGGGGTATGTTCTGACAAGAATAACCCGGTTACGTCTTTAGTTTTGGTCCCCCCCCCTGGAGCTCTCCGCGGTGAATAAACTCGTCCCGAAACTCGTCCGCTCCCGAAACCTCTCCTCCTCCTCAAAGTGCAGCTCTCGCCTTAGCGCCGCGCGCACTCGTCTTAAAAACTTGCAACAGTTTCAAGGATGGAGGGCTCGTGTTGTTCAAAGTGCAGATCTCGCCTTAGCGCCGCGCACATTCGTCTTAAAAGTTTGCAACAGTTTCAAGGATGGAGGGCTCGTGTTGTTCAAAGTGCATCCCTCGCCTCAGCGCCGCGCACATTCGTCTTAAAAGCTTGCAACAGTTTCAAGGATGGAGGGCTCGTGTTGTTCAAAGTGTAGCCCTCGCCTCAGCGCCGCGCACATTCGTCTTAAAAGGTTGCAGCAGCTTCAAGGATGGAGGGATCGTGTTGCTCAAAGTGCAGATCTCGCTTTAGTGCCGCGCATAGTCGTCTTAAAAGTTTGCAGCATTTTCAAGGATGGAGGGCTCGTGTTGTTCAAAGTGCAGCCCTCGCCTCAGCGCCGCGCACATTCGTCTTAAAAACTTGCAACAGTTTCAAGGATGGAGGGCTCGTGTTGTTCAAAGTGCAGCCCTCGCCTCAGCGCCGCGCACATTCGTCTTAAAAACTTGCAACAGTTTCAAGGATGGAGGGCTCGTGTTGTTCAAAGTGCAGCCCTCGCTTCAGCGCCGCGCACATTCGTCTTAAAAGTTTGCAGCAGCTTCAAGGATGGAGGGCTGGTGTGGTTCAAAGTGCAGCTCTCGTCTCAGCGCCGCGCACATTCGTCTTAAAAGTTTGCAACAGTTTCAAGGATGGAGGGCTCGTGTTGTTTAAAGTGCAGCCCTCGCCTCAGCGCCGCGCACATTCGTCTTAAAAGTTTGCAGCAGCTTCAATTGAGTGTTTTGAACACAAAGTCGCGGCCGAAAGCAAAATATTTGCCCGCTATTGTTCGCGCGGGCGTTGTTGTCTGGGGGTTGTTCCCCCCAGGGGATAATGCCGCATGGGCAACCCTGCACGCGTTAGGATTTTTGAGGACATTCGTAAGACGGTTGTAATGTAGAATTGTTGTTCGGAATTCTTGAAGTGGTTCCTGCTCGCGCTGTCTTGGAGTTGTCTTGGAGCCATCATGAGCCATCTTGAAAGGATTCTGAAATCATCGCGGCCGAAAACAAAATATTCGCCCGCTATTGTTCGCGCGGGCGCTGTTGTCTGGGGGTTGTTCCTCCCAGTGAATAATGCCGCATGGACAACCCTACACGCGTGAGGATGTTTGAGGACATTCGTAAGACGGGTGCTTTGAGGAAAACAGTTACAAGGATGGAGGGCGCATGTCGATCAAAGTGCAGCTCTCGCCTTAGCACCGCGCACTCTCGTCTTAAAAGTTGGCAACAGTTTCAAGGATGGAGCGCGCATGTTGTTCAAAGTGCAGCTCTCGCCTTAGCGCCGTGCACTCTGGCTTCAAACGTTTGCATTCGTTTCAAGGATAGAGGCCGCACGTTGATCAAAGTGCAGCTCTCGTCTCAGCGCCGAGCGCATTCGCCGGAAAGCTTGCAACAGTTACAAGGATGGAGGGCTGGTGTGGTTCAAAGTGCAGCTCTCGTCTCAGCGCCGCGCACTCTCGTCTTAAAAGTTTGTAACAGCTACAAGGATCGAGGGCTGGTGTGGTTCAAAATCCAGCTCTCGCCTTAGCGCCGCGCACATGCCTCTTCGTCTTCGTCGTCGCATCGCTGCCGTAGTCGCAATCGCACACGTACTCGTTATCGTCTTCGAATTCGTCTTCGTCGTCGGACCGCCCGAACTATACTTAGTTTCCGCTATTGTCGGGCGGGGTCGTTTTTCCGAGTTGTCAATAAATTCGCCCGAACGATATTTATTTTCCATATTTTAGCCAGGGGATTTCTAAAGACTTAATTGGGTTATCCGTGCGAGCCCAGTCGTGGCGAGGCAAGCATACCCAGAGACCAGAAACCAACATCGAGGCTTGATCGGCAAACCTCGGCCTTGGACTTGCCACAGCGTTGGATCTCAGGCCTGGGGTCACAACTCGGCCTCCGCCGCCCCTTCTGGACGACCCGAACGCTCTCGGTGGCACAGCTGCTGGAAAGCACCGCGTCGCTGGGAAACCTCTTTGGGAGCCGACGATGGCGCCCGAAACCCCTCAGAGCCCGAATCCAGCCTTGGCGAATAGAAGCCCTCCAGAGCCCCTCCGACTATTTTCTCCAAGTGTGCGTTAGCGTAAGGGGTTCTCCACTAGCCATACGGGCTGCGTGTTCCGAGACCTTTTCCCAGCTTTGTTGATGTGGTGCCCGTTGAAGTCGCCAGTGTTGCAGTCATATTTGGGGTGGATGACCTTTCAGGGGCTCCTTTGAGCGGGGTAAATGGTTGGAGGAGGAGGAGGAGGAAGAGGAGGAGGAGGAGGAGGAGGAGGGGGAGGAGGAGGAGGGAGGAGGAGGAGGAGGAGGAGGAGGAGGAGGAGGAGGAGGAGAGGAGGAGGAGGAGGAGGAGGAGGAGGAGGAGGAGGAGGAGGAGGAGGAGGAGGAGGGGGAGAGGAGGGAGGGAGGAGGAGGAGGGAGGAGGAGGAGGGAGGAGGAGAGGAGGAGGAGGAGAGGAGGAGGAGAGAGGAGGAGAGGAGGAGGAGGAGGAGGGGAGGGAGGAGGGAGGAGGAGGAGGAGGGAGGGAGGGAGGGAGGGAGGGAGGGAGAGGGAGGGAGGGAGGGAGGGAGGGAGGGAGGGAGGGAGGGAGGGAGGGAGGAGAGGAGGAGGGAGGAGAGGAGGGAGGAGGGAGGAGGGAGGAGGAGGATGAGGAGGAAGGAGGAGGAGGGAGGAGGAGGAGGAGGAGGAGGAGGAGGAGGAAGGAGGAGAGAGGAGGAGGAGGAGGAGAGAGGAGGAGGAGGAGGAGGGAGGAGGGAGGAGGAGGCAGGAGGAGGAGGGAGGAGGAGGAGCATTAGGAGGCGGGATGACGAGGAGGAGGAGGAGGAAGGAGGAGGAAGGCTTTGGGGGGCAGCGGGGAGGCCGAGCAGCAGGGGCAGCGGCGGGAGCATGAGCAACTGGAGCCCGCAGCCATCTGTCCGAGCACGATCGATGACCAGCACCGCCAGTCAGTCAGTTCGGTATCGTTTTTCCGATCCCCATCCCCACCCCCATCCAAACCCCCAGCATCCTTGCACACCAGTTGGGGACACACGCCTCGAAACCCGAAGGGAACGGCCTATATCCCCATTTGGGGGGTCTATCGGCCATTGGGGCCCAGGCCACGTCCATGGGGATAGGGGTCGGTTAAACGATGCCCATCAGTCAGTGGAGCCTTGCCGCACGGCGCATCGGCTAGACAAGACAAGACTAAGTACATCATTGTTGGTGCACAGCTCTCAGAAAACATACGCCTGGGCAATGCTTCTGCACCGAGCCCTGCTGCAGGACGGCCCGAGCTCGGCGTTGCACAGACGTGCCGGAAGCCGAGCATGCTAGCGACGCATGCGCATGCTCATGCGCATGCCTGATCGGGAAAATGCGCGATCCGTGTTGGCGCAGTGTGGCTCTTGTGGGCAACCGCTGCCAAACCCCGCCGCCCACGACGACCGGCCCCACCTCGCGCCCAGGGGCCAGAACGGGGCTCGTCAAAACAAACGCGGTGGTGGTGTAATGGCGAACGAACAGCGCACACCCATACCAGTAGGGGGTCGGAGGGGGCTATGGGTGCAAGTTGTCGGATGGGGGTCCCCGCTCGAACGGGACCGCCCCCCGCGATCCGACAACCCGCACCCGTACCCATAGCCAGTCCTCCTCCCTCCGATCCCCGTGTGGGTATGAGTCTGTGCTGTTCGTTCGCCATGTAATATTGGTTGCGAAGGGACCCGATGTTTATAAACCACCACCAAGATGTGCGGAGTGTCTGTTTGGGGAACTCCCCTCCTATTGACACCCGTGCCCCGCGCCGCGCACCTGTTCGCCGCGGAGGCGTGGAGCTGCCTGGCACAGCCCTAACTCTGACAATACATGCCAGTGTTTTTTGCAGCCGGTGGTGGTGGTGGTGTATATGTATATGTAAATGTATATGTAAATGTATATGTATATGTAACTGTATATGTATATGTATGTATGTGTATATATATACATACATAGATGTTCATGTGCTTATGTGTTTAGTCAATTCTTACATTCTCTAGTTATATAAATAAATGCCTCACAACCTGCCCAGCTGACTGGAGCCCCGGGAAAGCCACACGTACTCAAACGTTGGGGATCTCTGGAACTTGCGCCCCCCCCAGCCGACCCCGCCGCGGTCGCGGGGCCCCCCCGCCGCCGCCGCCCAGCTGCCGAACGCAGAGCTGGCCGAGGCGAGGCAACTGCTGGCGGACCTGGAAGGCTCCCACCGCTGTCCCTGCGCGGCCCGCTGCTCTCGAGGGCTTTCCCGCGAGGCCCTCGGAGGGGCCGCGGCCTCCTCGCGAGGCGCTCGGAGGCTTCTCGGACTCTAGGAGGCCATCGGAGGCCCTCTGAGGCCCTCGGCTTCTCGGAGGCCTGCTCAGAGGCGTGTCGGAGGCCCCTCGCAGGCCCCCGGAGGCCCCAGGAGGCCCTGTTGAGGCCCTCGCGGGCGCTCGTCATCGTGCCCACCAGTCGCTGGCGTTGTCGCCTTCCCGTTCGTCCTCCTCTTCCTGCATGTGTTATTGCTCCTCCTGCTTCTCACCATGCTGCTCCTCCCGCCCCCTCCCCTGCCTCCTCCCCTGCCCCCTGCCATCCTCCTCTGGCCTCCTCCTCCTCCTGCTCCTCCTCCTCTTTCCGCTCATTCTCTGCGCCCCCCCTCTCCCCCGCCCCCTCCCCCTCCTTCCTGTCACCATCGAGCTCCTCCGACCCCAGCCCCGCCAGGAGGCAGGGCCCGGTCGGGGAGGTTCGCCGTGGCATTCGCCACCTCACCGGAGGGGGAGAAGTGACATGGAAAGGGGACGAGGGAGCAGCTTCGCCCGACGTGCCAGCGGCATCGACGGCGACGGCGACAGCGGCGGGGATCGTGGTGACGACAGCGCCAGCGAGGCTGGCGACAGCGGTGGCGATGCTCGCGTCGGCGATGCCGCTGACAGCGGCGACAGCGGCGATGCCGGCCGTCCGCGGCCGCAGGCAAGGCGAGGGCCCGCAGGGGCCTCCGCGACGCGGTGGCGGAGCCGGGGCTGGGCTGTGGCGGGAGCGAGGCATGGAGGGACGCGTGGAGGGTTCCTCCGAAGGGCTTAGGCGACCCGTCCTCCTCCTCCTCCTCCTCCTCCTCCTCCTCCTCCTCCTCCTCCTCCTTTTCCCTCCCTCCTCCCTCCTCCCTCCTCCCTCCTCCCTCCTCCCTCCTCCCGCCTCCTCCTTCCTCCTCCTCCTCCTCCTCCTCTCCTCCTCCTCCTCCTCCTCCTCCTCCTCTCCTCCTCCTCCTCCTTATCCTCCTCCTCCTCCTCCATCCTCCTCCTCCTCCTCCTCCCTCCTCCTCCTCCTCCTCCTCCTCCTCCTCCTCCTCCTCCCCCTCCCCCTCCTCCACCTCCTCTTCTTCTCCTCCTCCTCCTCCTCCTCCTCCTCGGGTGGCCGTAGGGGAAACTGTGCAGGGACGCGGGCGGGGAGGCGGAGGGTGGGGGGCAACGGGCTGGAGGGAGAGAGTCGCAGACGATTTGTCGCCCCGAATCCCCGCGCTCCCCCAACAAGCATGTCGCCGAGAAAAGAGGACGGGAGCTATTCGAACGCACCCCTATCGAGGACGGAAGCCCCCACCCCCGATTTTGGCCCTTCGGTCAAGCATGGGTGACGGAGGGGCGAGAAGGGAGGGGGTAGGGATGTGAAAGGCTGGGGAGGCAAGGTACCGGTGGGTGAGGGGGGTGGAGGGGGAGGAGGTGGAGGAAGAGGACGAGAAAGGACGGACCCCGCACTCGGGCCCCCTGGGCAGCGGGGCCGGCCTCAGCCCGCACGGCCCGCCGCCGAGTGATGGCGGAAGGGAGGCCGCGGGCGTCAGCAGCCCAATAGCTACGAGACCATATCCGGCCGTTGGAGGCCGAGGACAGCTCGCGCCGCAGCGCGCAGGCTGGGGCACGCCGCGCGGACAGGCGGCTACATCTCTCAGAAGGATGTCGCCTTGGTGGTGAGGCGCGCCAGCCAGTACGACAGAGCGTCACGAGGGACCTGCTCAGCTTCAGGGGCCACCTGCTGAGCTGCAGCGACGAGGGCAGGCAACAAGCTGAACTACGAGGGCTACGAGCAGAGCTTCAGGGGCCACCCACCAGCTGAGCTACGAGAGCTAGCAGCGGAGCTTCGAGGTCAGCAGGCAGAGCTTCGAAAGCAACCAGTTGGGCTTCGAGGGCCACGAGCTGAGATACAGGATCCGCGGACAGAGCTACTGAAGTCACCAGCAGAGCTACCAAGGCCATCTCCCGAGCGCCAAAAGCCTCGAGCACAGCTAAGGAGGCCACCGGCTGAAATACCAGGGCCACCAGCTGAGTTACGAGAGCCACCAGCAGACCTACGAGTGCCATCGGCTGAGCTACCAGTACCACGTGCTGAACTGGTAGGGCCACAGACAGGATTGCGAGGACCACCAGCCGAGCTACGAGGGCACCCGCCGAGTTATGAGGGCAACAAGCTGAGCCACGCGGGCAAGTAACAGAGCTACGAGAGCCTCCTTCAGAGCTACCTGGGCGACGAGCTGAATTGCGAAGGCCACGAGCAGAGCTTCGAGAGTCACCAGCCCAGCCACGAGGGCCACCTGCTGAGCCACGAGGGCAACGAGCTGAGCTACGAGGGCCGTGAGTAGAGCTTCGAGGAACCCGAGCTGAGCTACGAGAGCCACTGGCAGAGCTACGAGGTTCACCAGCAGAGCGACGAGGGCAACCACCTAAGCTACGATATCACCGACGAGGGCACCACCTACACTACGAGAGCCACCAGCAGAACTAGCCGGGCCACCAGAACACGTGGGAGCACTTCAACACGTAGGACTACAACAAGGGGTGCCCGCCACAATGGCCTCGAAGGTACCTTGTAGTGCTGGGCATTCCGATCGGGAGCGGTGGCTATCAGCGTCAAGAGTGCCAGCGTCGAGGCCATCGAAAGGTACCCCAAGAAACGGCTCGCCATCATATGCCAAGATACGGGTCGAGCTTACCAGTAGCAGGATCGGAGGCAACATGGCCACGTGTCCGAACGCTTATGCGACCTTGCAGCCTCCGAAGTCCAGCCTAGGGTCGCACAGTGTCTCTTCCATGAGAACCACGATGAAACCTTGATCAATGAAGTTCACGATCGGATCGCGCAGTTTTTGCGGTGAGTCCAGCCCGTCTGAAGCCGCAGACTTTAGATACCGATTCAGGAAGAGGAGGAGCAAGGCCACCCAGTTCGCAGCACTACATTCAAGGGTATCACATGTCACTGTTACATACAATCTACTACGTCGCGAAGCACCGCGGCATTTGCCCTGCGCCCGCGCGTGGGTCGGCGCAGCGGTTGAGAGGGATAGCCGCGCCAGTTTGGGAGAGAGAGAGAGAGAGAGAAACAAACAAAAGAGGAGAGGCGATGAGAAGAGATACGTCATCTGGCACGTTCGTCACCATCCATATGATAATCGTATTCGCCACCGTCTATGTCCACTGTGCATGACGGCGGCTGCGTCGGCGTCGCAACGCGTTTACCTTATCTTGGCGCCGTCGGCCCCGTTCTTCGTCTGGCTGCGGAGGAGGAGGGGGTGTCCCGGTCTCTGCCCTTCTTTTCGTCCACGCTCCCGATGTGTGTGTGTGTGTGTTCCAAGATGCGATTGCCCATGTTTGATCGGGGATCTGCCGACGAAAGTTCGCAACATTGCGCCCGCCAGATGTCGAACCCGATCTGTTGACACGAACGTTTTGCGCCAGCTGCGTGAAAGATGCGGAGAGGGAGGGGGGCGCCGTAATTCCTCGTCCTCGTCCGCTGCGTCGTGTTCACTGTTGTTCTCTCCTCGTGCCCCTCCTCGTCCTCTCTTCTCTCGCTCTCTCGTCTCTTCCCCGCCCCATGCTTTCTCTGGAGACTTGCAGACACTTGGAAAGCACCCCAGAACTCATTGATTACCTAGAGCAAGTACAGAAGAGCCTTGGGAAACTTCCGAGCAGCTCCTCGATCTCCTCCCCCCCTGGGGCACCCTTAGCCCTCTTAAGTTTTGGGGCATGTCTCAGGCCTCGCTGCGACGGCGAACAGTCCGGTTGCCCCTCCCCCTCCTCCTCCCTCTCCTTCCCCGGCCACTTCCCTCATCATGCATGACCTCCTGGAGGCGGGGGCCCCCAGACGGGGCGGTGACCATCGGTTGGAATTCGGGGTCACCGCACGGGTTTGGGACTCGGGTCGTTCTCCGACGACGTCTCGGGCGACTGGGTCCTCCGAGGTCCCAAAACCGTGCGCTGACGGACCGTGCGGTGAGGTCTTGGAGGGTTTCGAGGTCACCGCACGGTCTGTCACCGCACCGATTCGGGACTCTGGAGGGCCCCTTGAACTTCCCAGCACGGCTGGCGCCATCCTCCCCCCCTTCTTTCTCTTGCCCCCGATTCATTCATTTCCCCGCCATCTCCTTTTCCTAAAATTCAGGGGCGAAAAGAAGACACATTCGCACACGAATGGGCTTCAAAAGAGCACTTTACGCGAGCGTTTGTCACAAGGGCGGCCACGCGAACTGGGGGTGTATGTCATATATATATATGTATATATATATATATATGTGTGTGTGTGTATACGTGTGCACATGTGTATATATGCATATATATATGTCGTTATATACAACTGTATATATATATATATATATATATATGTGGGCGTGTGCGTCCTTCATATATACAAACATATAAATATGTATGTATATACAAATGTGTATATATACATACATATATACACCTTATATTTTTGTATATACATAAATATAGCTTGCAAGTGTATACATATTTATATATAGATTGTGCGCCATATATACATATATATATATATGTATGTATATACAACTGTGTATATATATATATACATGTGTGGGCTTCCCAGAAACCTCGTCTCTCCATCCCTCCTGCCGACCTCCCTCCTCCCCAGACCCCCTGTGCCTTGATTCGTTAACTGCAGGGCCACCCGAAATCCTGACCCCTTCCCCGAGGGCCGCCTCCTCATCCCGCGTCGCCAGCTGACAGTTGGCGGCCCCAGGGCCCGGCGAGGGCCTCCACGAAGATGGAGCAGTACATGTCGTTGTTTAGGACGGTGGATGTGTCCTGGGGCTCGAGATTCGAAGTCGCCGCGCGCGAAGCCTCTCCTGGGACGCGCTCTGATCAGAATCGAGGCGAATCTGGCCGTGGTGAACAGAAGGCTCAAGAAGATTCGATCCGTAGGCGTCTCCTAATCTTGTCGGGTGACTGGAGCGATCACAAGGGGGGACCGAGGGTTGCAGAAAAGGGGCTCCGAATGAGCCGCATGCATGATGCCCCGAAGGTGCAGGAAAGACCCCCCTATCGTCGCCCCCCCCGCCCTTCCCCCCCCTAAGTCCTGCGAGCTAAAGCCCGCGCGTGTAGAAGACACTCGCCTGAGGGTGCCTTTTTTTCCCGAGCTGGCCTTGCCTTTTGCGCTTGCGCCTCCTCCCCCCCCCTCCAAGCAGCGCCCGCAAAGCTGCCCCGATACGCCTGCCTCGAAACGCAGAGCGCACCGTGCTCCAGACGTCCGTCCCGAACGCGGGGCGTGCTGGCTCGGCACGTGCTGGCCCACGCTCGGGCGAACGCATCGCGCCAGACCTGCGTCCTCTGCCTGCGTGCTGCGACCGGTGACGACGCGCTATGCGCGCTGCGCGTGGCGCATCGGCAGCTGAGCAGCGCCCGAGGTCCTCGGAGCCCGAGGCTGCCCTCCTCTCCGAGCCCCGGTGCCCCTCAGCACACCGGGTGCAGAGGGGAGATCGAGCGCGAGCTGCGGGCGGCGCCCGGCGCACGCCCCTCCTGCGGGGCGCGCCTCGCCCTCCTCCCGTGCCTCGACCCTCGCTCTCCACCTCGATCCTCCTCCTCCACCCCGATCCTCCTCCTCCTCTTCCTCTCTTCCTCTCCTCCTTCTCCTCTTCCCCCCCCCCCCCCTCGACCCTCCCCCCTCCACCTCGAGCCCCCTCTCCCATCCACCTCCCTCCCCAGACCCCCTCGCGTCTCGAAGAACGAGAAACGGCATAAGCATGCTTTTTTGCAGGTCCGCGCGGATTCGTCGGATCGGCGCTGGCGCACCCCCCCCCCCTGGTGGCGCCTCCAGCGGCGCGCCCCGCGCGCCAGGCAGGGGGATCCAGCGCCGATCCGAGAAATCCGCGCAGACCTCAGGGAAATTAAGCTTGTGCCGTGTTGTTCATCTAGCGTCGGGAAACAACCAGGACGAAGACGAACAGTTTGTTTTTCATTTCTGGCCGTTGGGGGGTCTCAGCGGGCCCCAGGACAGTCAACAGAACACAGTCCAGAGTGAGGAGCCGGCCCCCGGGGAGTGGGTCAAGACGTCCTGGGGGTCCACGCTGTGATCAAAGTGTGTCATCGGGGGTGTGGGTCCCTCCCTCCTGCCCCTCCTCCTCCCGTCCTCTGGCCCCCCCCCCAAAAAAAAACAACAGAGAAACAGAGAGAGAGAGAGAGAGCGAGAGAGAGAAAGAGAAAAAGAGAGAAAGAGAAAAAGAGAGAGAGACACTTTTCGGAGTGCCCTGAAAGTAGCCAGCCTCCTGACTGATGGGAAGGGGACTCCACCTTGCAGCAACTGGCGATGGAGGAAGAGGAGGAGAGAGAGGAGGAGAGAGAAGAGCAGGAGGAGGAGGAGGATCAGAAGGAGGAGGAGGAGGAGAAAGAGGAGAGGGAGAAGGAGGATATAGGAGGATAGAGGAGGAGGAGGATCGGGGATGAAGAGAAGGAGGAGGAGGAGGAGGATCACCACCATCATCATCATCATCATCATCATCATCATCATCATCATCATCATCAGCATCATCATCATCAGCATCATCATCACCATCACCATCACCATCATCAGCATCAGCATCACCATCATCATCATCATCATCATCATCATCATCATCATCATCATCATCATCATCATCATCATCATCATCATCATTGTCGTCATTGTCGTCATTGTCGTCTGTGTCGGCGTCGAGGAGGAAGAGGAGGAGGAGGAGGATGAGGAGGAGGAGAGGGCACAAACCTCACAAATACAAATACAGATATGTATATAGAGAGAGAGGGAACAGCACAATCTCTGGCATGTGCCCGCTGGGGCCCTCGATCCTCGAAGGCCCGGCGCGCCTCGCCCTCGATCCGAGGTGGAGGGCCGCAGCCTGGAGGCCCTGCGGGCCGCCCTGGCGGAAGCGAAGGCCGTGCGCGGCACGCGACGACGGGCGCGCATCGGGGCTCGACGTTTTCGATGCGCCCCAAGTCGAGGAGCAGAAAGCGCCATAAAAAAGAGACAAGTTTTGGGCGCGGAGCGCCGCAAGTATTTTCTTATTGTGCCGCTTTTCCCTTCTCCTATCAAGGTCGACTCAAGTTCGCCTCAAGGTCGACTCACGTCGACTGACGATCGACGCAACATCGACGCACGAGTGGAGCGAGTGGCTCCTGGAAGGTTCCCATTTGCGGCCCTTTGCACCGCGGACGGGAGACTTCGAGGTTCGACGTTCGATGTTCGGTGTTTTCGGGCGTCTTCGTCGGCTCCCGGAGGTTTTCAAGCGTTGTGTTGCTTTCCATCGGACGGGGTTAGAACGAGGATAAATCCGTTCCAGAGCGTTCCGGACAGCTCTGAGAAGGCCGCGGCGCCCGAGACATCCTCCAGAACCGCTGGATCTCAGAGATTCTCGATGTATCCTTGCCCGATGTTATCCTCGTCCTGGCTTCGTCTTATGCCAGTAGCTGCGCCTCGCTGGGAGCTGTCTGTGGGTGCCCGCATCTTCCAGGACGGCCGCTGGAAGCCGAGTTGTGACCCCAAGCCAGACCTCCAACGTCTAGATCAGTCAACGGTGGAGGTTCTTCGAGTCTCGAGGATCGAGGCTTTTCTCAGAGGAAGAAATGTACTCATACCGCTACCCTCCGTCCGCTTTTTGTTCTGTTTCGGCCTCTTGGGAGGCTCTCGTCGCCGCAGTTGGATTCGCCTTGAAATCTTGGTCAGAGCGCACCCCAGGAGAGGTCCGGGGAGTAGCGGTAGCGGGTGCTCTTTGGTTTCCCCGTTTGGGGCCTCCGTGGGGCTTCTCGTCGCCACGGCTGAAGTCGCCTCCAAGCACTGGTCAGAACGCACCCTGGGAGTGGAGTGCCGACCCCCCGGACCAAGACATCCGGCGCCTTGAGAACATCACGGTGGCAGAGGTTTTGTTTCGCTGCGGTGGGCCTCCGGGGCCCAGGGTGAAGTCGGGCATGTCCCTCTACAGGAGGAGTAGTCAAAAATAGTCCAGGGGCGAATTTTTTATGATTTATGATTGGTTTTCGAATTTGTTTGAAGTATTTTTAAATTCTCATCCAAAATCCGCTGTAGGGGGACCTGCCCAACATGAGCCCATCGCCGCCAGCTGACGACTCGGGGTGAGCAGCGGGCCTCGGGGAAAGGCTTGGGGGGCCCCGTCTTGGAGAACTCCTGGCAGCGGGTGCCTGCGGGGCGGGGAGGGGGGCAGCAAGCGGTGCAGGAGTGCTAAGCCCCAGTAGTACGACCCGCCTCCCCCCACTTCCGATGCGTTCAGTGCCATGCGCCGGCCCTGGTTTGCGTCTCTGTCCCGGATCCCAGCCTCCCGAATCCCAGCCTCCCGCTCCGCTCCTCCAGCAACTGGAGGACTAGCGGAGCGGGAGGAGGCTCGACGAGGAGGCCGGATCGGGCGGAGGTGGGGGACCAGGGAGAGTCACCGAGCGCGTTCCATTACTCGCCAAATCCCTACTCGCAGACGTCCGAAACAACAACACGTGTCTGCATCGATGCAATGTATCGTGAATGCCCACATGGCGGATCCAGGCCATAAGCGAGTCGTTACCTTGCGAGTCGTGGAACGCGCTTGCTTCGAGAGGTGGGAGGAGGGGGAAGTGGGGAATTCCTCGATCCCCGCGCTGCCACCTTGGCGCCCAGATTGGCCGAGGACCGCGGGCTGGGTGCCCGCCCGGGCGGCGGCTGGACGAGGGGAGGATCTGGGCTGCTGTTTCGATGAGGAAGGATCGGAGAAGGAGGAGGAGGAGGAGGAGAAGGACGAGGAGGAGGAGGAGGAGGAGGAGGAGGAGGAGTTAGGAGTTCGGAGTCAAGAGGAGGAGGAGGAGGAGGAGGAGGAGGAGGAGGAGGAAGGAGGAGGAGGAGGAGGAGGGGAGGAGGAGGAGGGGGAGGAGGAGGAGCAGGAGGAGGAGGAGGAGGAGGAGGAGGAGGAGTTGGAGGAGGAGGAGGGAGGAGGAGGATGAGTTGGAGGAGGAGGAGGAGGAGGAGTTGGAGGAGGATGAGGAGGAGTTGGAGGAGGATGAGGAGGAGGAGTTGGAGGAGTTGGAGGAGTTGGAGGAATTGGAGGAGTTGGAGGAATTGGAGGAGTTGGAGGAGGAGGAGGAGGAGGAGGAGGAGGAGGAGGAGGAGGAGGGGGAGGAGGAGGACGGGGACGAGGAGGAGGGAGGAGGATCGAGGTTTTAGCCTAGATATTTTGGAGCGTCGTTGGCCCGAGCTGACTACTGTGGCCTCCGCGGGGCTTCGGAGGGCTCCAGGGACCTCCGGAGCTCTCCTCGGGGGCCTTCGCGAAGACTGAGGGGGAGTAGGAGCAGCAGGAGTTAGAAGCAAGCCGCGAGGAGGGAAGTGTGAGAGAGAAGTTAAAGGAGGCAACCGAATTCTGTCGGGATCCCGCAAGGTGGGTGTGTGCCCCAGGGTGCGTGTGAGTTCGATCGGCTTTTGCACCGAACCGCCCAAAACAGATGCCCCCCCGCCGCATGCAGCTCCCCATAGTTGCCGATGTGTAGGGCATGCGGGAGGCATCTGTTTGCGGCAGTTCGGTGAACCAGCGGATCGAACTCATGCACCCCTTCAGGGTCACCCCCTCTCTGGGTTGAGAATCCTGTCAATGATGCTGCCCTCCCCGTTGCCGGTGGTGGTCATCATGCGTACAATTTCTCGGGCAGGGTAGAGATGCCCAGAGCACACGCGGATGCCAGCATCTCCGATCGCGCGAGAAGAGGGGAGCGAGGCGTGAGGGCGGGGAGTCGGTCTCTCGGCACTCGCCCCAGGACCAAGAGGTGCCCACAGGGGCCTCGGCTGCACGTAGAAGCGGCCCCTCGCCAGAGTGGCTTTTCGTGCGCGGTGCTCTGGGGGGGCGCAAGGGTGCCGTTGCTGTCGTATCGCACGCAGCTGTCGGCAAGCTGCCCACCAGATGTTACTTGGGCGAAGGTTCGCTCTTGCGTGTAGCGGCAGGCCGACCTATAGGACAAGCATTGCGGTGTTGAATTCTCGCTAGCGTGGGCCACAAATTGTGAGTTCTTTCATTCGGGATTTGCAAGCTGTGTGGTGCAAGCCATGTGGTGTAAGCATTGCGGTGTGGTGCAAGTTGGTGAGTTTTTTTGTTCCTCCCCGGCGGAACGCTCGTTACAAGGGCCAACCGCCCCCCGTGTAACGCTAACGATCGTATTAGGCGGGGAGGCCTAGACATGGCGTGGTGCTGAAAGGCATGCTTTGGTGTTCATGAACGTGTTGTGGCGCTCGCAGGCTCTCCACCTGTTGCGGCGCCGAGCTCACAGGCATGGCGTGGTGCCGAAAGGCATGTTTCGGTGTACATATGCGTGTTGTGCGTGTAGTAGCGCTTGTGGGCTATTGCGGTGCGCATAGGCCACGCGGACTCACTGCCAAGGTGTCCTGCTCGGAGGGCGGCGGGTCGGGGGACCGATGTCGAGCGGCTTTCGGCTGTGCGGGTTTTCAAGGTCGGACGCGACGTATGGGCCCGTCTCGGGCCTGTGGACCCGCAGAAACGAGCCCACGGCGCGAATTCGGTATCGAAGATGGGGTCGAGGGCTTCCAGGGTCCTGCACGAGCAGAGATATTTCAAGGTCGAACGACCCACGCGGCGTCAGAGACCAACGCAGACGTCATCGCGGCACGAACTTGCCGTACCCAGCACAACGGAGAAGGCGAAGACTTGCCGACCCCCCAGCTCCTCCTACCTTCTTCCCGCGTCCTCCCGAGTGTATGCTGTTTTGGGAATTCCACGGCGTCCTCCTGAGCGCCTGATTGCACGCGTTGTTTTGGGAATTCCACGGCGCTGGAGCTTCCGACCCCATCGTGAGGCTCCTGTTGTTCCTCTTGTTACTGCTTCTCTCGCTCCTCCTGCTGCTCCGCCCCCCACTCCGTATTCCGCTCCCTCAACGAAGGCCGCTAGGACCGTTGAAAAAGGATAGGAAGAGGGCAGGAAGCAGGAGGTGCAGGAGGACGAGGAAGAGGAGGAGGAGGCGGAGAAGGAGGAGGAGGAGGAGGAGGAGGAGAAGGAGATGAATGACGAGTCCTGAAGGCCTCCGGGGTCTGTGGCGAGCCCCGCAAGGAGGCCTCGCAAGCTGCTAATGTGCTCGTTGGCACGTTTCGCATTCTGGTGTACACAGGCGCTGTGGTGCACGGAGGCAGTGTGGCGCGCGCAGGCGCTACGGTACACATGGTTGCTGTGGTGTACACAGGCGCTGTGGTGTACACAAACGCTCTGGTGCACGCAGGCAACCAGGTATGCGCAGGCGCTGTTGCGCACACGGCTGCTGCAGTTTACATACATTGGCGACGTGGTGCTGCGGAGCTCGCGGCTGTTATGGTGTACGGACGCACTGCGGTGTGCACAGGCGGCGGTGTGTTGCTCGCAGGCATTGGGCATTGTCGTGTGCGCAGGGACTGTGGCACGCACGGGCGATTGATGCGGCGGTGTCGCGGACGCACCCTGGCGGGTGCACGCCGCGGCCGCCGTTATCGTTACCTTCCCGCCCGACCCCCCCCGAGTAACGACCGTTACCCAGGAGGGAAAACAAAACGCTCACTTGGGTGGTGGAAGCAATGTGGAGCAAGTTCTGTGGTGCAAGTCGTATGGTGCAGGCTGTGTGGCGCAGGCTGTGCGGCGCCCACGAGGCGCGCACGGGCGGCGAAGCAGCGAACACCCGCCAAACCCGCCCAAACACTTCTGGCAGGTTCGCGTCGTGTCGACGCTGCGGCGATCCCGCCGCTGGTGTTCGAGGTTGAATGCCGCCAGTGGCCCAGGATCGGCCACTATGGAACGATCTGACGGTCGAACAGCCGGCGATCGTTCAAGGTTGAACGATCCACGTGTTGTCAGAAGCCGACGCCAGGGTCGTCATGACACGGGCTGTCGAAGAAGAACAACATGCATAAACATAAACGTTCGGAGTTCCGCGCGGATTTCTCGGATCGGCGCTGGACCACCATCCCTGGCGCGCGGAGTGCACCAGGGACGGCGCCGGAGGCGCCGCCAGAGGGGCCCAGCTCCAATCCAATAAATCCGCGCGGAGCTCCGAAAGTTTGGTGCTGTGTTTTTGAACGAACGGACAACACATCCCGTACCCACCCGGGGGACGAAGGGGAGCATCCCCAGGAGTCCGACAACCCGCACCCATACCCATAGCCAGTCCTCATCTCTACTACCTCCCTGTGGGTATGGGTGTGCATTTTTTTCGTCACGTGAGCGGCGCCGAAAAAACGGGGTCGTCTGCGCCGAAATTGGCGCGCAAGCTGCCCGCGTAAGGTCGCGCGTAAGCGCCCTCGCTTCAAGTGCGGCGTGCCGCGCGGGCGGCCCGCGTAAGCCACCGCAGAAGGTCGCTGTGCCATCTCGCGCAAGCCCAGCTTTTGCTCCTCGCTCCCTCTCGGCTCCTCCAGACCTGCCACACGGCACCGCCGTGAGAGCCCCCGAGCGTAGGCACCGCCTGCAGCAGGCCGAGGGGCGGCGCCGCAGCACCCCGGCCGGGGGGGGGGGGGCGCCCGGCCCCGTGGCGGCCTGGCCTCCTGCGCCCCGCCCGGGGCGCAGGCCGAGAGCCTCGCCAAGGGCCTTAAAGAGTGGCGAGGCCCAGTCGCCAGGCGTAAGGTCCCGAGCCTTCCTGAGGTTCCCGCCCCGCGGAGCGGAGCGACACGCTACCCGCTCGCAGGGCATAGCGTGTCGCCGGGGGGCAGCCGCCGGGACGTGCAATGCGAGAGTTCCCGACCGTGGCATCCTTTGGTCGCAGCCGTTTGGGGGGGAAACGCTTCTTCTGTGCACAAGCCCCGAAGCTTGAAGCGCAGGGGTCCTCATTGAAGATCCGCAGCCTCGCACATTCAACGACCGCCGACCGACCGGCGGCGGCGACCGACGATCGACGACCGCCGACCGACGGCCGCCGACCGACGACCGACGACGACGACGTCGACGGCCCGCGACGGCGACCGGCAGCCTCGGACATCCTCAGCGCCGCCGACCGACGGCCGCCAGCCGGCGAGCGGAGGCCAGCGGCCTGCCCGACGGCGAGCTCGAGCCCGCCCGGCGCGCCCTGGCGGAGGAGGAGCGCAAGGCGTCGGCGGTCCCGGGCGGCGGCCCTCGGCGGCCCTCGGCGGCGGCGCGGAGGTCGGCGTCGGCGGCGGCGTCGGTCGCTGGCGGTCGTGCGTGTTGTCGATGTCGTCGTCGGTCGCCGCTCGTCGTCGTCGCGGTTGGTCCTCGTCCGTCGTCGGTCGTCGGTCGTCGGTGGTCGTCGTCGTCGGCGTTGTCGTCGTCGTCGCCGTCGTCGCTGTCGTCGGTCGTGAGTCGTCGGTGCTCGGTCGTGGTCGCGGGTCGTCGCCGTCGTCCGTCATCATCGTTGCCGCCATCGTCGTTGGTCTTCGGAGTCGCCGTCGTCCTCCAGGATTGGAGGGTCTTGGCGGCCTACCGCGCCGTCGTTTCCGAAGTTGTGCTGCGACTTGAGACTTGAGAGTTACCCATCGCCACGACTGCGACGCTCGTTTCGGCGGGCCGTCTTCTCCTGCCAGACCCACGTGGGTTGCCTGCGTCAGACGGCCAGCCACTTTCAGGAGGGAACAAAAACACACAGACACAATTATCGCAAGCCTAGAGGTTGACACCAGCACCAATATCGGCGGTGTTCCTCCACCGCGGGTAGAAGATCCCGATCTCGGTGATGGTGGTAATCTTCTGGCTTCCGAAGTGACCGAACTATTAGCACCAACACCGAAATCTAGGATCATCTCCCCCCTGTGGAGGCAGCCCCCTGTCGTGGTGTTGGTGCCGATTTCCAGGCCTCCAAACTTAATCGTCGACTCCCAGGAACATATGGGAAAATTTGGGAAGTGGGGAGGAAGATGAAAATTCAGAAGATATGGAAAAATACAGTAAGTCCTGGGATTTGCGTGTATTTATGTGTGTCCCTGGGCCCCTTTACATTTACCCTCTCGTCAGACGCGTTTTTGTCCTTGTGTCAACGGGGAAGAACCTTCCGTCCCGATGTCGTTGGTGCCGCCTGGAACCGAGGGCACGTCGGGCCCTACCAAGGTCGCCCGCGTCGGTCTCATCTTGACCTGCAAAGTGCAGCGTAGCCCTCCAGACGTCATAGGCCCAAGCATCTGGACTGCTCAGAACTTTGACTGGGATCTGCATTTGAAAATCTCAGTGCTCTGCACTTTTGTGGCCCTCGTTGAGGGTCAGGGGACCTCGACTTTTCCCTGGGGCCAGCTTTCAAGCAGTGGCGAAGCGTCCTGGCTTGCCCATAGGTCCACCACATAATGTTCTAAAAACCGTTTGTGGTTTGCACGACATGTTCTTAGAACATTGCTGGCTGTGACTGTCTTGTCAGTCTCAGAACATGTCGTGGTAGGCCTAAAGGAATGCCAGGACGGTCGGTCCCTGCTCAATTTTCGACGGCCCCGAGGCCGAAGTCAGGTGATATCCTCCCGTCTTGACGTTCTAACGACGCGCAGGACATCAGGGGAAGTCTGGCTCATGAAGGGTGCCTGCGTCTGTCGGATGCCCACGTGCAACTCCTGGCACGTGTGACAAAATTTAGCATCCGCGCCGGTATCTTCGCTGACGAAAACAGGCCCAATCCGGCATAAACCCGCCGAAATCCGCTCCATCCGGCTTTCATTGTTTGTCTTATCTGATTTACTCCCTGCTAAAAATCGGGGGGGGGCACAGCTTCCCAACCCTGACACGTCGATTACTGAATTGTCCGTCTTCGGTTCTCGAGAGGGCGGTGCGGCCGTCACTTTCCAGGCTTGCGCCCGCCAGGTTTGGGCCCGAGGTTGTTTCCACTACCACGTTTTACTAAATGGGTGTTCTGTCCCTCCCCGGTAAGAAGCGCCTTTAACCAGGCTTAGCCGCCTTCCGGCCAAGGCGTCCGCCTCGACGGCGCCTGCCCTGCCCGCGCGCGCGGGCGCGGCGACCGCCAGCGGCGGGCGCCCCCGCGCGTGCGAGCGCAGGCGGCGGCGCGCGCGTCGCTGGCCAAGGCGGTGGCCGCCAGGGACAGCGGCGAGCTCCTCAGGGCGCTGGCCGAGGGGGAGGAGCGGGGGGGGGGTCAGGTCGGCCAGAGGGCGGGTAGCCCGCTCCATCCTTGCTCCTCCCCCTCCCTCTTACGCATGTTGTGTGTTACTCCTCAGGGACTTCCCTCACGGATGGGTGAGTAAGTGAGGCGGGGTCAGGGGCAACGTCAGGGCGGTGGTAGTAGGGGGACGAAAAATGACATAAGCATAAAAACTCGGAGGTCCGCGCGGACTTTTCGGATCGGCGCTGGAACCCCTTGGCGGCGCCTCCGGCGCCGCCCCTGGCGCGCTCCGCGCGCCAGGGAGGGGGTCCAGCGCCGATCCGAGAAATCCGCACGGACCTCCGAGTTTTTATGTTGATGTCATTGTTCGTCCCGTTAGGTAGGCCGAGGGGGGAATGCATCGACCCCGAATCGCCAGTTCATCGTCGATAGAATCCCGACAACCCACCCCGCCCAGGATGGGTGCGGTTTCGCTATCTGGCGCCTATCGCCGATCTACCGGCGACGCATCGCCGATACAAGCTCGATGTTTCCCCCCTGAGCCGGTCCCCCCCCGAGGCGCCCCTCGGGTGAGATTGCATATCCGTATTTGGGACCGTTCTGGGGCCCACTTGACGGATCTGTTCTAGTTCGACCATAGCTGACTCAAGTTTGATTCACATCGGTTTACGTTTGACGCATCATCGACGCATGAATGGGCGAGTGGCTCCAGGGAGGTCCCCAGAACAAGCATCGAAGACGGGGGGGTGGCTTTGGACAGCAGACGGGGGACTTCGGGGCTCGAAGTTCGAGGTTCCACGTTTTCGGGCGTGTTCGTCTGTCCCGCTAGACGAGCGCGCGCGTTTATCTTCTCCATTTTTGGACGCCCTGTCGCTGCGCGCGGGGCTACGACCCCACAAAAGCGTGTTCGTCGCTTCCCAGAGGCCTTCCAGCCTTGGGGTGCTTTCCAGCAGCTGATGCTCCTCGCCGAGAGCTTCCTAGGGGTGGTCAGGTCGCCCCGTACGGGCTCAGAAGGCCCAAGTTCTGGCACGAGAAACTTCCAGAACCCAGACACCCATTCTCTTGACTGGGAAAAACCAGACGGAGGTCTCTCCTCTTGATCCGCCTCCGCGGGCCCTCGCCGGGCCTGGGGCTGTCAAGGCACAGCTCCGGGTGAACAGCCGGCCCTCGGGATTTCCCAGGGACCCCGTGTTTTGCAGATTCACGACATCGAATGTCTGGGTTTGGATCGTGAGCGGGGGACCAGAGCGTACCAGAAAGGGCTTCCTTCGGCTACACGCAGGAGTGACCGTTCGCCGGAGGGACCTTGGGTGCGGGCACAGGGGGGTCCCCAGATAGCCGCATGCGGTGCAATAGCAGCGGCTTGCGCGCTCCGGTTCGGCCTCCCCGCGGCCCCCGAAAGTCACGCACAGAAGGTCACTCTTGTCCCGGGTCCCTGTTGCGTATAGCAGGCTCCCCTCTCTATGAGCAAAACCCTGGAGGCGTCGCGCGGCGCGCAACAGTTGTATTATCTAGTCCGCACGGCCGCCCCTTCAGATGATATGGGACGGCGTTCGCGCGGCGATGTTCCGACGTAAATCCGACGTTCATCCGACGCAAATTCGACGCAAGAGGCTTCAGGATTTTCCTCATCACCCTCCCTGCAGGTCGCACCATCGGCAGTAGCCGGCGGAAGTAAAACATGGGGGCGGTCCCGCTGGCGGAGGGCCAGCGAGGGCCAGCGGAAGCATCAGCGAGGGACCGTGCTGGTACTCGGTGCCCCCACGCTCCGCCTGCGGCGCCGCAAGGGGGTTCCATGGCCGATCTCGGGGGCAAGGATGTCAGGAGGGGATCGGCATACCGGGGGGGGCGCATCGACCCCCAGTCCTATGATATCCCAACCCGCTTTAGCTTTGACCACCACCAGGAAGAATGTCGAGCGCCAGGAGAGAACCGAAACGGGAGGGTTTTCACGTGTCGGGCCCTGGGAGGCGATACTCGTTCGACACTTCGCTAGCGTGTCGCGTAGACACTGTTTTGATATTGTCCTGGGTGCTCGAAATTCTGTCCGGGATGTGGTCCCTCAGCACGATGGGGACAACACCGCCCCAATCGCCCATTCCTCGCCGAGAAGGGCCCGATAGTCCCACACCGCCAAGAAGCGTGGAGATTCACTAGCGGGGGCCTGTCGCCGATCCGCTGGCGATGCACTGCTTTCTCCAAGTCGGTGCTCCCCCCCCCCCCGTGTGCCAGTCCACCCGCCCCTCACGAACCAATCGATTCGCGCGGACCTCCGAGAGCCGATGTTTGTGACGGTGCTATTTGTTCTGCTGTCAGGGGCGTGTCTCGCCGCCGGTTTCGGCCGACACGCTACGCCCCGGTCCCCGAGCGCCAGCGTCCCGAGCCGTTCCCAGCCTCCCGCCCCACGAAGCAGAGCGCCACGCCATCGGCTTTGCGAGGCCTGCCGTATCGCAGGGGCCGCCGCTCTTGCGGCCTCGCGCTCGTGCGCGCGCCACCCTTTTGCCCCCTCCTCCCCTCGTCTCCCCTCCTCCCCCTCCCCACCTCCGCGCCCTCCACTCCGTGCCCCAGGGCTTCCTTCGCGCTTGTGAAAGACAGCGGCGTTCCCGGTCGTCGTCGTCGTCGTCGTCGTTGTCGTCGTCGTCCGTCGTCCGTCGGCGCTGCGCAAAGGCCCTGGTCGCACAGGCGGGGACGACGGCGGTGGGCGGGCCCCGGCCCCGCGGCCGATAGGACGCTGGCCTGGCGGCGGAGGAGCTGCGCGCGGCCCGGGCCGCGCTGCGGGAGGAGCGGCGGGGGGCGCCGCCCGCCAGGTGTTCCAGGAGGAGGATCGGAGGAGGAGGAGGAGGAGGAGGAGGAGGAGGAGGAGGAGGAGGAGGAGGATCGGTCGGTTTCAGGCGAGGCGGCCTAGAGCGTCGCCCTGATCATCGAGGACTGCCGCCTGGGGTACGCTCGAGGAGGAGGAGGAGGATCGGAGGATCGGAGGAGGAGGAGGAGGAGGAGGAGGAGGAGGAGGAGGTGGTGGTGGTGGTGGTGGTGGTGGTGGTGGCTGGCCATGAAGGCGAGTTAGAAGAAGTCGTCATCGGAGGCCTCCGGGTCATTGTCGGGGCCCCCTCCGCCGCCCGACTGGGCAAGCACCTTCACTCCGTCCAAGTCGGCGGCGCGTAGCCCAAATGCCGCCAGGACTGATGCCTGCGGGGGCAGACCGGATGACCCTGCCGCGGCGGCCCCGCCCGCGGCGGAGCCCGAGCCCGCGAAGGGCTGAGGCAGAGAGCTCTCGAGCTCCGCCCTCTCCTCAGCACACAATGAACCAGGCTGGCTGAGCACGAAGGCCTGCGAAGAGCGACGATAGTGGGGGTGCCTCCCCTGCTTGATGCGCCGCAGGAGGGACTTCACCTTCGGGTCCACTGGCTTCCGCTCACAGCGAGACAGCAGCAGACCGCCTGGCTTCCCCGAGGCGTAGCCCCCACACCTGAAACAAAACAAGATCTTGCCAAATTCCTCGGACGGCCCCTCAACATCGCATCTGAGCAAGCCATGCCCACGGAAATAAAAGGCATTCAGGGCACCCTCGGCCCACAGGCCATCGCCCATCCCGCCCACCTCCACGACGACATCAGACGACGGCCCCTCCTCTCCATCACCCTCGGGGGGGGCGGCAGCTCCGAGGGACCTTGCTCCTCGGCAGCGACTCCTACTGTGTCGCCCCTGCCGCCCTATTGGGCGAACCAGACTTCGAGCCTGCCCGCCCACCTCGCATGCTCGTGACAAAAGATCTTGAACCCTCTGATCTGACTCGCATGCTCTTTAGTGACTCCATGCATCGAGGCCCCTGCCTTCGCATGCCGGTCCGCGGCCTGGTTGGCTCGGAGCTCCCACCAGGTCGTCTTACCAGACTCTACGTCAGCACTGCCCGCGTGGGCAAGCGTTTTGAAAACAACAAAATCCTCACTCGAAAACGCAGCCCAAAAAGGCGCCCACATGTGCACTCTTGGGGCCCAAGCCTCGGTCCCCGTGCCTGGGCCCCCGCAAAGGACATGGAGCGTCGACCGGCAGTCAAGATACAATTGGAAAAGGCTCCCCCCGTGACGTGCGCCAACATGTAGATCGCGTAATCTTCGCCATCCTTGGCTGTCTGGCGGGGGCCGAAAGACAAAGGTACAGGGCCGAACGCTGCGTGCAACACATTGCCAAGCCTGTCTACTTGCACTAGCGCCCAGCTCGCCCCACTGACCCCTTCTAGTGACGGCCACATGGCCGAGCCGTCACTGAACATACATCCCGTGAGGTATCCACATGCGGGCTTGTTCACCCACCTGACAGCCTCAACTGGGTCTTCGCAGGGCACAAAAACCAGGGGACTCTGGAGCACACATCTAGCGAAACGCTCTCCCGCCTCCACCCCCAGCTCCAGGGCTCTGGCCGCGCGCTCCCTCGGCCACGGCGAGACTCCATCCCTCCTGAGACCTTCGTGCGCCACGCACTCATACTGCCGATGCCACAGCGTACCTATACAGGCCTGACACAGACGACACACTTGTGACGCATGCAGCCCATGCCCGTGCACCCTTGCTTGCGGCCAATGCACATTGCAAATCAGGGCTCTGGGTGCGCGCTGATTGTGGCTGGACCTGTCCTTGTTCTCTGCTGCGGAGGAGCTGGCACAGCCCCTACCAAACAATAAGAAACACATCATGGTGGCCTCGGGGGCCCTCGCCCCCTAGCCGACCCGAGCTGCCCAGAGCAGCACGGTCTGACGCGCGCATGGCCCCGTCCTGCACCAGCCCTCGAAGCTCCGACGGCGAGAGCTGGCACAGGTTCCACACGCGCCCAAGATCGTCACCCAGGCGCGTGCTGGACAGCAATCCCCAGCCGATCCTGGACACAGTGAGGCAAGCTACTTCCGTTGGCGACGAGGCGACCCTCCACGGGCGACGGAATCGCTCCAGTTTGTCAAGAGCCGCGCCCATGGTAGCACCTAACACTGTCGGTGAGGGGAAGCTCTCCTACACCGCTGAGGCCCACTGAAACGCGACGTGCCCCGTATAGGCAACCAGCGGGTCTGCCAAGGCCCCAGACCTGTACGAGTGGAGCCTGGGCCCAAGATTGGACCCCTTAGGGGGCCTCCCTATGCTTCGAGCAGCTGGAATACGAAGGCCGCGCATGGCCGAAGGGGGGATCCCTGTGACGCTGCTTCCCCAAAGCGCTGCAACGGTAGCCCCGACCCGTTGGGCGAGGCCAACATCCGCACCTGCGCTCTGCAAAATCTGCAGACGCTGGCCCCTAGACTTTGCGGCGACAAGCCTACTCCTGGCGATGCCTACTCTTCTACAGGATCCCGAGGACGCGTCCGCGCCGAGATTCCGAGCCGAGTCCACTCCGGACGAGGACGGGATCCTCCAGCAGCCCTTGAGAAGCCGAGATACTTCCAGGCTGCAACTATACTTGGTCTTGCTCACGGCCACTGGAAGGCTCAGACGATCGAAATCCGTCAGCAGCGACTCCACCCCCTCACCGAGAACCTGGGCCACCTGCTCCTTCCCCCCACGCACCTGCAGGGCAATGTCAGCGACGACGCTCCTAACCAACTGCGGACTCCCCTGCTTTGCCTGCAGCATCGGGCCCAAGAGAAGCAGCTTTGATAGAGGAGTTGCTCCACTGCAGCCTGCGACCACGGACCCGTTAGCATGCGCCACTCGTGACACCGCTCCCTTGTGCAACAGCGTGCGGTGGCATGAATATATCGCGCACAGGCAGCGCAACAGCCTAATCGGAAAATTGAATCGCAGCGCCGCCTTGCACAGGTGCTCGTGGCCTATGCATGCGTAAAACTTGGAAAAGCAGGGCGGAGGCCGACTCGAACCCGACCCCTTTCGAGAAACTCGCACGGAGGTTATGGACCCACCCAGCTCGCTCACACACGGTAGTTTCGCTGACCCCGCAGAACACGCCCCCCCCCCCCCCCCGGTGCAATCATGCCCCACAACGCTTGAACATGGACTGCCTTACCGTAGGCCAAATCTTGGTGAAAAAGGCCAGCAAGCCGATGGGGCGCACGCCGCCGTCGGCATTGTCGATAAAAACGACATTCGCCACGAAGAGCAACAATCCCTGTGGGGGCTCTTCAAGTCTGTGGAGAATACCGGTCAAACGTGTAGCGCACTCCTCGCCAAGCTCTAGTGCCCACCGAGGACGGACCCCATCCCACCCCAATCCACACTTCCTGCGATACCCCCTGCGTGCCTTCATCGGAAACTCGGGCGATATAGCTGGCAAAGTAGCCCCTTCTCGAGGCACAGACCAGGTCGCTGGGCGCTGGGCTCCTCGGCCCGCTTCGTGCCAGAGCGGCGTCCAGACCTCTGGCAGGTAGCCTAGCGCCCCCCGCCCGCAGACTGGCTTCGATTCCGCATCCAGCAAAGACGTGGGACTCGGCAACGCACCCTTCGAGAACGCATGAGCCGCCTTCTCTCCACCTTTAGTCGACTCCACCGCCCACGACCTCCACTCCTTCATGCTGGACTTAGCATCCTGCCTTCTTTTCCGAACAACCTCCAGACTCTATTTGGACAAAACCCCCGCCTCCTCCTCCTCGACCTTCCCATCCACGACGCCAATGGCGAGGAGCACAAGGTCAGGCTTAGTGAGGCCGCTGTCACTGAAGTCCAGGGCTTCAGTCATGCGCAGCAGTTTATCCCTCCACTCGAGCAAAACAGATCTGCCTGGACCGCCAACTGCCCCTGAAGCGGACTGCCTTCACCTAGTGACGAGGCTCTGAAAGGCAATCCAGGTTGTGGTTGAGTTGGAAAATCTACGCCTTTGGTCCTTATCCCAGAGCGTTCCCAGAGAGGTTTTCTGCATCCTGGGCCCTCGAGCCCTGCCAATGTAGCCCCGAGCTTCCGCGCCCTGCAAACCGTGGATCTGGGCCAGGCGGTCCTCGGCAGCCCCGAACCGCCGCTTGCACATGTACTCCAAGGTAACTTCGCCAGCCCCAGACATGCGTTCAGTCCAATGCCACTCTACACTCGTAGGTTCGGGATGCGGAGCAATCAAGCAATGCTCGAACGGGCGCAACTTAATCTGGCGAAGGATCACAGCGAGGTGGGAGAGACCCTCCAGCTCCGTGTAGACAGGGCTTTGCGGACCAAGCGGGGCCTCCGAGAACACTTCGAAGCCCTTGGCCCGAGACAACAAGCATTCCGCCAGGAGGAAGTAGTCCAAGACACGTCCCGATCCAGATAGACTTGTAGGGTCCAAAACCTCGGCCCCCGCCAAGCCTTCGCCCCCTTCACGGCCGTCGGGTTCTCCTCGGGCCCCAGTGCAAGTGGGCTCCATGGCAGCCACGATCTCTCCCCTGACGATCTGCAACCACCCAGATGCCATCAACACAGACGGCTGAAAGTTGAAATCGCCCTGGACGATCCAGGGTAGCTGTTGGCTGAGCAGGAGCCCTCCCAGGGCCTCCAAGAGCGCCACTTTCTCCCCCGACAGCCCAATACCTGCGGCAAAGTAAACCGTGACCACCAGGAGGCCCTGTGGGAACCCAACGTGGACACCGCGCATGCTCACCCTGTTGGCTGGCAGGTCGAGATGCTTCACTGCGTAAGGCGTGGAGGCCAGGCTGCACTGGACTCCGATGGCTACGCCACCTGAGCTCTCAACACTACTGCTGCCAGTGCTTGCCGCCAGCCCGTGGGACAGCTGCCAGCCATTCCTTGCCCCACAAGCCGATGCCGTGGACGCTTTGGGAACTGTCTTGATGCGTGTCTCCTGGATCATGACCGCGCCAG